TGCTGAACTGTCCGGCGTGCTCTGAGTTCTCCTCCAGGAGGTACCTGATTCGCCCATTTCTACCCACGTCCAGGTCTTGAGCCAGCACGTTTCGCAGGGCCACCATGGAGATATTGTGCCGAGGATCGCCAGCGCCAGCACCGGGGCCACCACTTCCTCCTGCGCCACCGGGCACAAAGGGCTTCAGCACAGTGCCTGGTGAGGCGTTCTCGGGTACCTGATAGTGCATAACCTCTTGCACGAAGGTGGGTTTGTTGTCGTTCACATCGCCTACGAGGATGGAGAGGTTCTGCGTGGTGCGGTGACCCTCTCGATCGGAGCAGACAATCTGCACCTTCTGGAAAGGCATTAACTCGCGGTCGAGGGGCGCGGCTGTCATGATGGCGTACTGTGTTGCTCCGGCTGTCTTCGTCTTGTCAAACGGTCGGTTGAATATCTGGTGCACTTGATGGGCTGGCAGACGCGAATTGGCGAAATCCTCGGGCAGAAGGGTGAAGTTCTTATTGGAGATGTTGCATTCAAACTCATCCTCGCCACCAAAGTCCGGATCGTGAACCTTAATCGGGGGAGAAATTATGAAAAATGTTTTACTTCCTCAGGCCGGGTCAGGTTTATTAGGAGAAATATAGGTAAATGACTCTGAACGCCCTATTGGTACAAAGCAGCTATGAAATGCATTGGTTCAGCAGAACATTGCAAACGATTGGCGATGCTAGTAAATGAAACTAGGTAAAAAGAGCAGACAGTGAAAACACTCCTTAGGCATTGTTCGGAAATTCTAGAGGTCTGAATGCCATTTGAGGGATTGTAAGGAGAAAAACTGTCGCTCGTGGGGAGAAAGTATATGCAAGGTAGGATGGCCTGCTGCTGAGAGTGCTTGAGGCATGTCAGGAGGAGCCCATCGCGGTTTTTATCAATGTACCGAGGGTCACACGAGGAGATGGCAGAGGTTACGAGAACATCACCGAAGTGCCGGGGATGCGTTCAACAGACGCCCTTGTCAGTTACCGAGTCTGCCGACCAGGTGGCGAAACGGAAGGGCCCGCCAAGATCCTCAGCAGTCGGTTATGGACGGCCATGAGGAAGAACTTTACAAGGCCGCGCAGCCTCGGTGAAGACTGCCAGTTCTGGAACATCTGTCCCCAAAATGTGTGCGCATATAGTATGATGAACCATTAAGTGCCTAAATGGCTTGCTGTAACTGCCTAAGCCGGTCGGTGAGAAGTTCGAAAGGGAAGGTAAGAATACTGAGACAACTGCCCTAAACGTCTGCCATTTTGTACGGTCCTGGCTACTGTTCATTGTTACAACCGGAGGAGAATTTTAAAAGAAGTTAAACAAGGTTGTAAACAAACTTCCCAGCCAGTTGATCGGGTAAAACAGGGAACAGGAAAGCTTTCTATTGCAGATGTCCTTGTGATGCATTTCAGGGAGCTTAAGGCCAGTATTAGTATTAGGGTTACGGAAATATGTGCGCTCCCCGTAATTTAACGCAGGGCCTCCTGTTTCATTGGCGAACCCTACTCCTACCTTTTACCAATGATCGATTTTGTTCCCGGTCAATTTTTGGCTAACCACAGGAATACGTACAACACAGGGGACCTCGCGCTAAGTTCCAGGCGGGCACATATTTTCGCGTCCTAGCCCCAGTCCGAAC